TCTCCGTACCGATCCTTCAGACTCTACCAAGTTTGTTCGTGAGTTGTGAGACCTATGTAACCTAGAGCTCTGATACCAGCTTGTCACGACCCGAATTGCCCACCCTCGGAAGTCGTGATGGCGCCTACTCGTAGAAGCTAGGCAAGCCAAATTTAGTTTTTTTTTCCTTTAATAAACAATCCCTCGACAATAATATTTAAACAATGAAAATCAACAATAATAAGCGGAAGTCTTAAATTTAAATAGCTAAGCAAGATACTGAATTTCAACATAATCTCTACCCCGGATCTGGAGTCACATGCTCACGAACATCTAAGGAATACTAAATACAAGGTCTGAAAGAAACATAAATCTATTTATCCCGAATACAAAGAGATGACAGTCTAATGTAGGGATAGAAGGGAGACACTGGGCCTGCGAACGCCTGCAAGGCTACCTCGGGTCTCTCCGGACTGGAAGTATGCTCCCGAACTAAAGCTGCTGCTGCTCGAAACCTGGACCTGTGCAAAAATACACAGAGTGTAGCATCAGCACAACCGACCCCATGTGCTGGTAAGTGTCTAGCCTAACCCCGGCGAAGTAGTGACGAGGCTAGACTGGACACCACATAAACCTGTGCAGATATGTATACAAATACAACAGAAAATAGCAAGAACATAACAATTAAGCTGGGGAGGGGAGCATGCTTCAGGGGTAAGTTAGAAACAAATATCAGGAATAATGGTACGTACATCTACAGTTTAACTTCTAGCAATAATGAAAAGACAAGGCAACTTTCATATTTAAATCATCTTGTTGCAGGCGTGCAACCCGAACCCAGTTCTCAACATCTCGTGGTAGGCGTACCACCCGCTCCCATTTCAATATCACTTGTGGTAGGCGTACCACCCGCTCCCATTTCAATATCACTTGTGGTAGGCGTACCACCCGCTCCCTTTTCAATATCACTTGTGGTAGGCGTACCATCCGCTCCCTTTAATTTCAACACAATACACAATACAATCCCGGCAAGGGAACAATCAAAGTAATACTCTTCCCGGCAAGGGAACAATAACAACAAGTCAAACATCCCGACAAGGGAGAGTCAGCTATAACCAATCCTATTCAATTTCTTCCCGGCACAACTAATATCAATATTTAATCACAACGTTCATAGGAGCAAACAAAGGTACACAATTATCAAGTTAAGACTCACGGTCATGCTTGACACCGACGCATGGATACTCGTCACCATGCCCATACGTCGTGTTCAACACAAACAAGTAGCAAATATGACTCAACTCCTAATCCCTCAAGCTAGGGTTAAACCAAACACTTACCTCAACTTTCACGGCCAAATCAATCCACAACGATCGTTTTCCCTTTCGAATTCGGCTCCAACTCAATCAAATCTATACAATAACAACTTAATAATATCAATATAAGCTAAACAAATCAACCCCAATGCCTAAATATAGATTCCCAAGCTTTCTTCCCAACATTCCAAAAAACGACCCCGGGCCCGCTTGGTCAAAACACGAGGTTCGAACCAAATTCATATCACCCATTCTCCTACGAGCCCGAATATACAATTTGCTTTCAAATTCGACCCCAAAACGAGGTCTAAATCAAGAAAAATTGAAAAGCCCTAACTCTACCCACTTTCCCCCAATTTCAACCCTAGATTACATGATTTGAGCTTAGGAATTTGATAAATGATGATGGAAAATGAAGGAGACAAGTTAAACAATACTTACCCAAGAAGCTTTGGTGAGGAAATGCTCTAGCAATCGCCTAGAAGCTGTGGAGAAGAAAGGGTTCGTGTATTTTTTGAATGAAATCCGTCACTGTTCTGTTTTTATGACTTAAAAATCGCTGGGTGAAAATACTCTACGCGTTCGCGACATGGGGGTCGCGTTCGCGATGAGTAGGGTCAGACAAGCATCACGTTCGCGGGGGTAGGGGTGTGAACGCGAAGAAGGAAATATTGGGGTCCAAGGAGTTTGGCCTACGCGAACGCGTTGGCCTGTGCGCGAACGCGATGGGAAGGGGCTGGAGACCTACGCGAACGCGGTCCAGCCATCGCGAACGCGAAGAAGGAAGGAGGGCTAGGCCCTCAGAACTCGATAACTCTACGCGATCGCAATGAAGGGATGCGAACACGAAGGAGGGAGGAATCTGAAGCTTCGCGAACGCGAAGGTGATATCGCGAATGCGATGAAGGAATTTACTGTGCACCTGCTGTAGATTTTCTGCAATTTCACTAAGTTCAAAACCACCCCGAACACCTTCGAAAACACTCCCGAGCCCTCGGGGCTCCTAACCAATCACACACACTAACTCAACCACACCCTACGAACTTACTCGTGCGATCAAATCGCCAAAATAACATCACGAACGAGGAATCAAACCTCAAAATCACTAGTTTTTCTTCAAACTTCATAAACTTTCAAATTTAGAATTTCAAGTCCGGAACACGTCAAATGACGTCCAATTTCAACCAAATTTCACAGAAAGCGCTTAAACCATATATAAGACTTGTACCGGGCGGCGGAACCAAAATACGGCCCCGATACTAACAGGTTCTAACCAATTTTTCTACGGGCTCTCCGGGACCGTCAAATCATGGGTCCGGGTCCGTTTACCCAAAATGTAGACCAAAGTCAACTTTACTCATTTTAATACCAATTTTTTTTGCATTTTTCACAGAATTTCACATACAAGCTTTCCGGCTTCTCGCCCGGACTATGCACGCAAATCGAGGCAACTAAAAATGGGGTTTTCATGGCCTCGGAAGCACGGAAAGAGAGAGAAAACAGGTGATGACCCTTTGGGTCGTCACAGTGACCCCCCCTCCTCCAATTTTTTCCTAGATTAGAGATGTTACTAGCATTATATTTTTGTCTTTAGCATATTTATTGAGGGGTACTTCTTAACGTGGTGCGCGATAGAGAATGGGAATGGAAGAAAAGGAAAGGATATTATAGTATGTTTTATGCACAAAATAAGGAAAGGACATCTATGTTATTTTTGAAGGTTAAGATGTTTTCTTTCGACATCAATTATAATTTTAAAGTAGAATGTTTCACCCATTTCTTAATTTTTTGTCTCTCGTCACTATAATAATTCGCTTCAAGGTTCTATATAAAAAGTAAAGAACGTCCTAATTGAATAATTGATAATTAAATGCACTTGACGGATCAATGCCTAAGGTACAATACTGTAAGAACAATTCTAATATTTTCCGGTTAAGTACAACTTTGATGGTAGAATCGTGCTATGAGCGAAAAGTAATAGTGAATTCAGATTTTATTCGCAATTATCAAAACTGACCTTATGAGCATAAGGAATCATATTAAATATGGATATTAATTTTTACAAACAAATAAAAAAGAATGTTTTTTGTAATCATAAGGTATGGAATTTCACTTGTGAAGCCTATAGTAAAAAAAGCTTTTGCTTATTTTTCCTTTCTATTTTGCTTATGTAGACCTAAGGTAAGAGAGGGAATAAAAAGTCACTGTGTTGAGAGTGGGATTTGAACCCACGCCCTTTCGGACCAGAACCTTAATCTGGCGCCTTAGACCAACTCGGCCATCTCAACATCTGTAGCTGGAAATGTTACATTTCTATAATATCCATCAATATACGATCCTTATAAAGGAATTGAACCTGGTAACCTTTTTTTTATTTTTATTTTTAATTAAAGTACTTTAACACTACCATTTTTACACTGACAGTATAATTGTTTTTTTTACTCGTTCGCTGTAATTTGACTAGCTAGCCAAAAAAAAAAAAGGCACATATCTGGCTCGTTAACATTAGAGAAGAAAAACTCCTAGCTCAGACATCTGAACCTATGTTACGCAGATTTTTCAAAATGTTATCGTACTTGTGCCGGATCATAAAAAAATACCTTACTTTTGGAGGATCGGATTGGCATCAAACTACTTTTTTGAAGAGTCCGAGCAACATAGTCTCTTATTGTAAAACTATCCTTTCGACTTGTAATATCCAATAAAATAAACCTATTTAATATGCTGATCAAACTATATGATCTAATATAAACATAGCTAATGGATATGAGTACCAATTTTCTTTTTCTAAGAGCGGCATAAAGAAGGGAGTCTTGGTGTAATTTGTAAAGTTGCTACCATGTGACCCGGAGGTCACGAGTTCGATCCGTGGAAGCAACCACTTGCATAAATTTAGAGTAAGGCTGCGTACAATAGACTTTTGTAGTCCGATCCATCGCGGAACACCTCACATAGCGGGAGCTTAGTGCACCGGGCTGCCCTAGCAGTGGTCATATAATATGGAGGAAAAGGGACAGTACATGGTGTGTCTTGTCAAATGGTTGGTAGGTGGGGAAAATGTTTGCTTATTAATCACTACAAGTTATTACTTTATGATTAGCCAAATCAATATTTAAGTGCATTTGTAATGCATTGAGTGAGCTTATTTGAGGTTTTTGCTCATACATCCACTATTTTAGTAACCTTTACATTCTGCTTCCTTGCATGTGCTACTTGGAGAGTAGATGAAAAGCAGAAAGTTGTAAATAGTTTTCCTTTTCTCTTATTTGATATGCAAGGTTGAAAAGAAGAGAATAAGAAACTATACCAAATAATAATATTATTAATAACTCGTCTTTTACATGAGTTGAGCTTAAATAAAAAAGTAAAAATTTCATAAAGCCGATGCCTATAAAAATAATATTTTTTTTTGTTAGCCGTACCCCAAGGCGTGTGATGTTGGCAGCTTACCCAATACAAGCATCAATAGCTGATTCCACGGCTCGAACCCATGATCTAGGCCATACGGAGACAACTTTACTGTTGCTCCAAGACTCTCCTTCAATTATTTTAGCAGGTTGGCTGCATATTTTTTTTTTTTTTTTGATATATAACTAGTTTCACTTATTATAAGCGGTTACTTATAGTTATTTTTTAAATGACTAGATAGTGTAAAAGTTTGTTTACACTGTTAGTGTATAAAATGTAAACTCCATGGACAATTAGTGTACTTAAGACATGGCCATGAGAAAGTCAATTACAAACTTGAGTACAAACCAATGCTTGTTTTGCACTCTGCTTGAAACCTGATACAATTTCATATACTCCTAAAAATACATCAAAAAGATATACTCACTATCACTTTAGTATAAATAACAGAGTTTTCTACAGGAAAATACAGGAAAAATGAAACTATCCAATGCCGAAGCTGTGATACACCAACACAAAAATTTTCAAACCTAAGTTTTTTGTTGTATCCTCATTTTGGCTTTATACACATCACAAGAAAAAACCTAAGGCAAGAGCTCTAGAAACAAAGAAAAAGAATTTGTTGACAGACTTAAAGCTCCAAATGCCCAGGGAGAAACAGGACAGCCAATCTGCCAAGGAGAAAACAATCCAGAGATCAGACGCCAAGCGGTAAAGGACAAGAAAACAAACAAGAATGAAGCACACGTTGGCGATGAGAAAGGCGTTTTATGCTCTCTTATCGAGAAACTGCAAATTCATGGAGCCAAAGTACAATGTCCATCAGTATATCACTATGAATCTTCAAAGCATTTCTCAGAGAGCACGTAAACAACGAGCCAAGCTACCGCCATCAGCTTATGATTTTCAAACCTAATACCATAAATTTGCTCTCTTCCTTCTCACACGGGATAAAGCGCATGCATATCCAATACAAGACAGCCGCATCCATATAGTAATCAATGCCAATTAAATAAGAAAAGGGAATAGATGAAAAATGCTACCCGTGAACTGTAAAGCGTGCCTTAGTTTTGATGAACAAAGTCAACTTCAGTTGCACTTTTTTCCGGATGCCCCCTCTTGGCCTTACGTCGTGAATGGTGTGAACTACCAGTGGAATCGGAATCCTTTGCTTTTGTGCTGCAACATACAATTTAATAAAGAGAACTTTGAGCCTCACACAGTGAAATAAGTTCATGAAATAATTTGCACAATGATATAATCTCTACTTAAGAAAATGAGGAACAGAGTAGATGTACTAACCAGAAGATGGAAGACAAAAGTTTGAACATAATTATAATGGGCAAAGCCAACAATGCCGAGGCCTACAGCACATAAAAAGTCCACCAATTTTACAATTTATCGGATATTAAATTGAAGGAAAAAGAGGAGACATGAAGGACTACGCGAATGAAGTATGCAAACAGATACATACCGCAAACCAAACCAGCTCCTTTGTCGCAAGAGATCTTGTAACATCATGCTTCTCTAGTGTTTCTTTGACTGTGCCTTGAAGCTTCATAGGATATCAGACGGAGTTTACAATTGGTGGATCAAAAGAATAATATGATACTCCCTCTATCCCAATTTATGTGTCACAGTACGGATTTCGAGAGTCAAACTTCTTAATTTTGACCCTGAATTTGGATATAGAATTTAATTTTTTTTTTTGAAATAAAATTTATGTATTTGAAAATTACAAAAAAATATAAGCCACAATAATTAACAATTCAAAATATTTAAAAGACATGAAAAAATCGCGATCAAAGAAAAACTCGGTTGACTCTGAAAATGCAAACACCAGCCACATAAATTGGGATGGAGGGAGTAGTAATACACACACACACACACACACACACACACACACACACACATATCTATAAGGGCATTTACTACTTCAACCAGAGCATTTGAATTGTAAATATCAGAAACCAGAAATGTAACCTACTTATCGCTTCTGACAGTAAATCCAGAGCATTGAGCAAGTAATGACCTCGGCCAAGAATACGAACTTAATGTTGCCAAATCCAATGAGTTAATGTTGATATTAAAAATCCAAAGGAAGAAATACGGGTAATATTTCTAAAGGTAGAAAATGATGACATTCTTAAACTATAGGAATATCCAAATATTATGCATAAGTTATCGAGGTCGTAGTAGAAATGTGGAATCTAAAGGGGGAGAAGATACATCTGCATGAGATCATATTTCAGGGATTAATGTCTCGTTAACTTTCTCATACCTGATCATGGTATGTAGTTGCAGACTCAAGGAACTTCCCATAATGATGAACCGCCACCTCTGTGTACGGCTTGACAGCAACACGAACTTTTTCAACATGTGGTTTTGCAGCAGTGGCGACGTCATCAATGTACGGCTTGCTGAATTTCTTAATTTCCTGTCAGAAATCATTCTTTGTTCAGGGATGACAGACTTAAAGGTAGGACTATGCATTTATAAATGTATGACAAGATCGGGAAAATATTATTCTTAAGCGGACTGGGAAACGCTACCTGAACATGAGGAGTTGCTAGTTCTTGAACCTTGATGATATGTGGAGTTATGGCGCCTTTAGATGTCTCGTAAATTTCAAGAGCTCTTGTAGTTAGCAATTCTATATGTGGCTCAGCGTTAGTGGAAATCACCACCCACTTCTCCTTCGCAGCTGGTATCCATTGCTTCAAACAGTAGAGTATAGATTTGTATGATTACTTGTTCAGTACACAGGGCTTTTCAAATCAATCTAGTTTGAATTTTGAGAGAATTTCTTCAATTTTGAAGAAAAAGTTAAGCAACAATATCTGCAAATACTCACATCCTCATTCACAGCAGTTGAATTAACTATATAATATAGTATATAACAATATAAACACAACAACTACGCCTCAATCCCAAACAAGCAGAGGTCGGCTATATGATTCCTTCACTGACCATGTCGCTCCATTTAAGCTCATCAGTGGCCAATATTATACAAAATAAAAATAAAGAAGTGCTAGAATACCTTTATATAATGATAACAAATAAAAACTACAACAATGTAAAATAAAGAATTCACAACTTCTTTGCAAGGTCAGTGGAATTTTTAAACTATAAGTGAATGAAACAATTTTATATAGGAAATTGCAAAGCTTGGCTTACTGTTTTGATTGTTTCCACATGTGGTGCAGCCCATGTTTCAGCTTGGGCCTTCTTTTCAGTAGCCTAAAAAGCAAATAAAAGAGATAAGCAGGTTAAACTAGAAGAGATAACGCAGCCCCTAGAAGCCCGTCTAGGGGTTCGGCCGAACTCAATAGTTTTTGCCCAAACAGTGTATGTGTTAAGATATCCATTAAATATGTAGAAAGTATTAAATTTGGAAGCCAGTTATTAGCACTTTGAATCATCGTTCTAAAATCCAAAACCTATAAATGTGAAATCCTTGCACCGTCTCTGCGCAGCCTACTGGGATTATATCGAACAGCCAAAAAACAATGTACCTTCTGTATCACTATGTCCATAGCAGGTTTTCCGTGCTCCATCCAGTGCTTCTCCATAATAGACTGCAGTTAACAACAAAATCAGAAATCAGCATAGAATCATGTTACATGTGATTGTTGTTCCAACTTTGGAAGTTCTAATAAAACATGATGTTGATCCAAATACCTGGAAATGAGTCAAACGAACGACAAGCCAAGGTGGAAGCCATGCACCATGCACCTAAATTTTCAGAAAAGAAAAGAAAATATTACCAGGCATGCAGGATGATTCACAGAAATCTTACTACGGCAAGAAGCAAATATTAAAACAAGGCATACTCATCATATAAACCCTATTTTGCAAAAGTACTGTACTTCCGCCTTTCAGGTTTTCAGGCATTACTTGGCATAAGGAGCGTCTGGTAGAAAAAGAATGATGCAAATGACGAAATTGTTACCTCTAATAACTAACACTGCTGCATCATCACATTCAAATTTCGAAATTCTCCAATCCCTCTCTTTGATTAAAGATCTAGTATCGGGGAATTATTGTATTCAAATTTCTTGCCTTTCTTCATTTGTTTTTTTTATCTGAGGTTACTACAGAAATAGCTTGGTGGGAAGCATAACCAGGTTTCACATAGTCGAATTCTTAGAAGCAACAATGAATCAACTAAATCCTTGTGGATCATTACCAACAAAATGTGCAACCAAACCAAATTACTACATACTAAAGCTCGACGGACAAACCGAGCCAAAAGGAATACCAAATTAACAACTATAAAACCATCATTTCTTCCCTTAAAATTGTTGAAGACATAATTAAGCAAAGTGTAGTCTCTGTTTCTCTCTGCAAGATTAAATTTTTGAATGAGTGGTCACCCACTTCAACATGGTATCCGAGCAGTAGGGTCCTGAGCTCACATCTCATTGCCACAGTTCAGCCAAAATATTTCCACATGAGTCGCTCATGAAAAAGAATAAAAGTCGCACGCGAGGAAGCGCGTTGAGGACATCATTAAGTAAATAAAAAGTGTACTCTCTTTGACAGCTTAAACGTTTGTATGAAGTGGTTAAATAATTCAACAAAAAATCACCGGCCAGTCCAATGCTTGGCACCCCAGAAAGTTAGAAATTTAACTAAAAGGCGCAACATAGGGAAATATTAGTTATTCTCATGAAAATCCCATGCATATAGAGTACATGAGGCCATCACATACTAACCATAGAATACATAAATTGGTGTATGCTAGCTACCATCAATAGAAAAATTAACTCCACACATGCTCGATCTGGCTAGGAATAATAAAAAAGAACAAGGGCTAGCTGATTCTAGATCAATATCAATAAAAAAAAAGGTTCTAGCCAAGAGATTTTGAAAGCAGTCTCTTTTACATAGAGTTAAAAAAGCCAAGCCAATTGTTTCCTTGCTGCTGATGTCACCACCAACAGCACCATCCTTTATTTCTAAACATACTTGATACCACCAGCACACAGATATCCCCAGTTTTACTCTGATTGAACCTTTAAAGACTAGCTAAACTATGAAATCAAAATGTCGTGGCAGAATAAAACAGGTAGCAATTGTAGGGTAACAGGTTGAAGTTTTTACGAGGATCACAAGATTTCTAGTCCAACTGGGAGATTGGGACAAAGCAACGAATCAAAAGATCAGCAATTCCTCTCAGGAAGAGTAGTATATTCCCGGCATTGATATGATAAGATGCATGCAGCTCGAGAAATCAAGCATACACCAACTAGTTTTTACCTCTCCGAGCTGCTGAGTTTTTGACATGGCTTCAGATCTAGCTCTAATCATTTCCTCCTGAAAGAAGAGTATAAAATAGGAGATGTATTAGAAATTATATCCTACCATATAAATTTCAAAAGTTTTGAGTTGTGTTTTTATCAAGAGCATGCCTCAGCAATTTGAAGAGCTCGTTCAGTTTTTCTTAGTTTTGCCGTCTGCTCGTCAACGGTCTTTTGAAGCTGCATAAATCCAAAAGAATGTGAATGACATTATATGATTAGGCTAAATACTGCAGGTACCAAGACAAAAAAACTAAATTGCAGTTTCAGACAAGAGCTTACCTTCTCAACTTTTGAATTCAATTCAGTTACTCTCTCCTCTGCTTCATTTATTTGGGCTCCCAACTCTTTTTTCTCCTTATTCTTCATATCAACTTCTGTTTTCAGTTTATCGACTTGATTTTCTAGTTGATCAACTTGTGCATGAGCCTTTCTGACTTGCTCCTCAGCATCTAATGTACCTTTTTGCTGGGAAAACAAAAGATATAAGGGCAAGTTACACATTTGGCTGGTCGGCCAAAAATAATTACATCCGCTATCCAAATACTCAAAAAATATACATTGATTTATGTGCAAAATATCTATATTATACATTTGAATACAAAAAATATAAGTTTACTGGCTACTATCTTTTAGAGTGGCTATACTGTGTACTTTTCCCAAGATAAAAACTATAAGCATAGGTGCTACAGAAAAAGCCAATACTAGTATGAGGAAGTTTGTTGACTCACTTGGAGAGAAGCAATCTCGGCTAGCAATGAGGCAATACTCTCTGATTTCTCTTTAATCATATTCTCCTTGTTAGCAATGACTTCATCCTTCCGTTTCAGTTCCACGGCCGTCTCCTCCACATTTGATTCTTCAAAAGGAAAAAACATTTTAGAGGACGTAAATATATCTCGTTAGTTATCTCTTTCATTTTACCAAAACTAATTAGCTCTAACATACAGCATTCAGTTTGGACTTCAATGTAGCCATTACTTGAACCGGTTTGAATAATATATGTAACTGAACAAAATTACTTACATTTCTCAGTCGTGTAATCTTGCATCGCCAACCCAAAATCTATTCTACCATCAAATTTAGCTCATCTTAACCAACCCAAAATCTGAAGGGGAGCCTTCGAAAACGGTAAAGTTGTCTCTGTGTGACCTATAGGTCACGGGTTCGAGACGTGGAAGCAGTCACTAATGCTTGCATTAGGGTAGACTGTCTATATCGCACCCCTTGGGGTGCGGCCCTTCCCCGTACCCTGCGTGAACGCAGAATGCCTTGTGCACCGGGTTGCCCTTTCTTTCTTTCCTTTCTTAACTAACCCAAAATCTATTCTATCTTCAATTCTAGCTCATCATTAACTCAATTCCCTAAAGATAAGAACTTTAACCAGTCAACCAAATTAAATCATCAAATTAACACTCTCAAAGAGTCCCTTGCATTACCAGATATGGGAATTAAGGTATAGCTTCCTATGACTGAAAAACAAATTTCCCCAAAAATATTTCCTTTCGTAAATTCATTTCCGCCTATTTGTTTACCTTGAATTATGGAAAATTCTCACTAATTATGAAGAAAAGTCATTTTCTTTTACCAATATCCCAGCTCTTACTTATTTTACCCAACTTATGGATATCATCATCAATCTTTATTAGTACTAAAAAATTACAACCAGAACATTATCATCCTATTCTATCCTCCATTTTAAATAATTATCTAAAACAATGGAAAATGTTCCAGAAAATGATCCTCCAATATTTTCCAATGCATAAAAGCTATTTGATCAGCTAATCCACATGGAAATTCAAGAAACACAAGTTCCAAAACACCCAAAAATATATAATCACAAACTAAACAAAACATTAAAAAAATGAAGAATTTTAAAACTAGCCCAAAGATTGAATCTTGGACTTAAGATGGTCCATTCTTTTGGGTTAGTTTTGAAATTTCCATTTCTTTTTAATAACGGTTGTGTCCTTGCCAGCTCGTGCGTACTATCCTCCTCCCTCTTAAACAACTATCCAACAAAACAATGGAAAATGTTCCAGAAAATATTTCTCAAGTCCAAAATATTATCCAATGCACCAAGAAAGCTAGAGTTTTGATCAGCTAATCCAAACTGAAATTCAAGAAACATAATTTCCAAAACACCCACAAAAAATGTAATCATAAACTAAACAAAACATTTAAAAAATGGGAAATTTCAAAACTAACCCAAAGATTGGATCTTGGACTTAAGTTGGTCCAATTCTTGAGAAGTGAAATCATGGGATCGAACATTTTCCACTTCATCATTATTCAAAGATGATTCAGCTTCAGCTTTGATCTGTGTAAAAATGAGTGCAATAAAAATGAAGAGAGTGAATAATATGACTCTAAATGATAATGCCATGATGAGGAACTCACAGCATAAGAAAACTTAAGGATCAGGTTATGATCAAGAAAGGAGCTTTTTTATGGGGGTTTTAAGACAATATATTTTTTTTAAAAAGTAGACTTTTTTAGGTAAGCTAAAAGCATATCTTGTTCGGACTTTCCGATCACGCCCAACTATGCCTTGTAAAAAAAAAGACTCTGCGGACGTTGCAAATATAACGCGAGTATTACGCCCAGGGTCGAATCCACAGAGAGTTAACCTATCAACCGCTATCTTCAGACCCACTAAGTCTTCAGAACCAGCTTCTCAAATATTCAAATTCTCAGTTGAGTGTTCTTTAATAACTAGCTTGCAAATAACTAAATGGCTGTAACTAAATAAAAAAAAAGGTTGTAAACAATTATGAGAAAAAAGCTAAGGCAATGATTTCCCCTATTGATGGAATCCCTTCTGTTTATGCTCATACAAATTTACCCACACATCTCTATCAATCATGAACGCTAATCTTACCGCAACTCTCTCCCGAGTAATTACAGTAATCTACTATTGCACTCTCCCGAGATACACTAGCTTGCTTTATTTAGCACAATTCAATTTAGATTGCACCCAAGACTTCGTTATTCCTAATCCCGCCTTTAAACCCGCAATTATAGATTCCTCTAATACTTTAGGAGTGGTGTTGTTCAACAATACCCTAAATATGCACTCTTTTCCAAGTTATGTACACTAAATAGGCACAGCTAATTGAGGATCCTATCAATTAACTACAACGAACACGAAGTTGAACAAATAAAGATTAAACTAGCAATTTGTATTCACACAAACAAGAAGTTCATCACCCAATAGGTTCCATCAAAGCCTTAGACAAGGAATTTAGCTACTCATGGCTATGGGAAAATAAACTAAGATAGAATTCATCATAAAAATCAAAAGTAAAGAAGAAAGATGTTTGGAGTATTCTCTCACAATGGTTTTCCTTGCTAAGAAACCCTAAAAATCAATACCTACTCTCTTGGGCGAAGTCTAATGTTTTAAATAGGGTTTAGGTCTAAAAATTCCGTATTTGACACTTTGACCCCTGAACTTTTCTGCGCCTGCCGCGGTTCTGCCGCGGTCGCGATAGAACCGCGGCCAATCACCCTCTCTGAATCTCTAAAGTTCTGAAGTTGCCTTCCACCGCGGTTCTGCCACGGTCGCGGTGGAACCGCGGTAGACCCAGTGCTCTGAATCTTCGGCCTGTTTTGCGTGGTTCACTTGGGAAATTTCACAGTTGGCCTCTTTTTCATCACTTTTAACTCCAAAACTGCTCCTTAGCGTTCCTTATACATATTTCACCTACAAATCATGAAAAGCACTAATAAGAGCATTTTGTTCTCACTTTTAGCATTAAAACTACACAAGAAGGTGATTATTTAAGGTGTGATTATAGTCAAATTCACCTATTATCAACACCCCACACTTAAACCTTTGCTCGTCCTCGAGCAAACTAAACCACACTTCTAGGCCTAACTGTTCAATGCATTGCCCCAATTTATGTCACACCTGCTATTATCAATGATCGACCTAAGCGGTGCACAATCATATCTCAAATGCAGACTCTCATGCCAAGACACACTTGTGTTCACTCTAATTACTCTAACAGAAGTGAAGACTCACTTTTTCTTCCTGAGTCACATGCCCTCACATAAACAAAATCTGAGAGAAATTCCACACACATAAAATTCAACAACAAGGAACCATATATAGAAAGAATTCACTCACTCTCAGCAAAGAGCATTCACATGCCACACAGACACACCATAAGCTTGCCCCAAGTGTAATACTCTACTAATCGAGCCATTCAGTCAAAGATCAAGAGGTCTTTATAGGTTGTAATGTAGGCTAAGGGACGGGTAGGATATATTTGGATATAGTGACTAACCTCCCTAAGCACTTTTAATACACACTTCTTTTTATTTTACCTTTATGCTCAACCCAATCATTACTCCACATTTTGTTTCACTTGTGACCCCCACTTTTCGTTAGGTACAACTGGCTGGTTCTTTTTTTTTTCTTTTCTTTTCTCTTTTTTTTCCAGATTTATTGTACACTTCCAGTTCACCAACCAGAACCTTCATTCTTGATTCCCCTTTTCTCTTTTTTTTTTTTTTTTAGTTCTCGCCCACCCCACACTTTGACTTTTGTATATTCTTTAGTGATTAAGTGCTTCTAGGAGGTAAGGGTTCAAACAATGAGCTTATTCAAACACAACGATTTATATTATTATAGGGTTATCAAAGAACAGGCTTCAGGCTCAAAAGGGGTTAACTATGGTAGTATGCACAGGTGGATTCTCAAGTATAAAGGGTTGCACAAAGAAATGCCTCAATCATCTCTAAGACCAAACGACTTCTATTTCGCTTTGCAAACACACAGGGCAAATTCTAGGTATCATATGCAGGCATAGGATGCAAGTAACAACTCACACACACTTAGCATGTAACTCATTCCGAATCAGTTCATCAGCACAATCATACGAGTGTTCAAGCCAGACAAGATGTGCAAAATTAAGGCATATATTATGAGTCCACAAACAAGCTTAGACCTTACACCCTTAGTTCGTTTTCTTTGCAAGTGTGCACATTTAGGGTTACACTCTGACATTCACCCATTTAATCCTAAAACTATAAAAGAAAAATCTACCTAACCCGGTTCAAGAAAAACCCTTGGAAAAGAACCGTGGTCAAAAGAAAAACCAAGGGGGAGGTACTACACTACCTAAAAGAAGAAAATAAAATAAAAAAAATTCTACATGGACTACTTCCCTCAAGAGTACTGTCCACATAGTCCGTCATCAGGAAGAGTCCTCTACAAGTTTTTTTTATTTTTATTTTTATTTTTTATTTTTTTTATTTTTATTTTATATATATGTATATCTGACTTTGACCCTCAAGAGACCCGTCAACAAGTGTCCGTCGTTGGGCCAAGTCAGCTACTCCTAATATAACTTACTCACATATGTACACCACATCTACTGCTAGCACACAACAACAGCTATATACAATTCAATACACATTTAGAGCAAGTCTCCCACCCCACACTTAAAATCATGGCATGTCCCCATGTCATATCAATACAGTAAAGAACAGAAGAGTGAGAAGACTTCCCTAAGACTCAATCCGAGTCGGAGACGGTGCTGGGGTCTACATGGCAAGCCCTCCCCAATGCGCGTAGCCAAGCCATAAACCGGCTCTCAGATCTAGCCTGCCTCTGTGACATGGCGTCCATCCGTGTGTGTAGACCATCCACCGAGGTGCGGAGATCCGCGACCTCTTCCTCCAAGGAGCGCAGCGTAGGCCGGGAGGACTGTGAGCGTGATAGATCTGCTCCAGAATGGGGGCGCTGAGAGGGCCCGGCACTGTCAACAGACCTCCTGGATGGTGCAACAGGGACCGGATCATCCTCCTCATCATCAATCTCAATTGTAGTGCGGGTGCTCCTGCCCACTCTGATGCTAGAAGCTTTGAAAGCTGCTTTGGGAGGCAAATCACCATCACCAGGGTTGGTAAGGGTGTTTCTCATCAAGCACAATGTGGTCACCAAGGAAGGGAAATAGAATCCCTTTGTCAGCAGTGGGCCCCGTAAGACCATTTCATCTCCAATTACCCGTGCCGCATCAAAATCCTTCCCTGTCACAAAGCACCAAGTCAACAGTGCCCTATTGAAGTTCACGTCCGTGGTATTGCTAGAAGGCAGGAACCTGCTACAGATAACAGTCAACCAACACTTGGCCAGGTGAGTGAAGGAGTTAGAGTTGAGGGTTATTTGGTCACGTATCCATATGGGCTGCCCCCCTGTGCAAAGTACATCCGTCATGACCTCCCATGTCACCCCGGGCCTGTCATGGTAATAGTCGACGTCACTGGTGAACGGAGGCAGCCGCAACACCCGGCGAATTGTTTGAATTTGAGCACTGACCACCATACCCCGAACAATCACCTCCCTACCCAAGTTCAATGGGCAATTGGCATAAAATTCACGAACTAGCATCTTGTTAACTGGTGCAGGGTCAGCAAATAAGAACTCCATTTCTCGCCTCCGTATCTCTTCATACATCTCCACTTTTTCGGCTCGGAGGGCTACCCGATCAATCGGGATTTCAGGAACTAAAAGTTTTGGTAG